GCAGGCTGAGGTACGGGGGGAAGCGGCCTGTGATGGACTGGGTGCTTTGGGGGGATGGTCTGGCTTGGGATTGGTCCTGTTACTACCGCCTTGATACTGGGGGATATGGAAGCGCGGCGCGGGGCTGGGAGCAGCGGGATTCGTGGGCGACTTGGCGGGTGCGGTTTCTGTTGGCTTGGACTGTCCACTGCTCTCGCCAGCGCCACGATTCAGGCTCTCAGAGGTCTCACGCCGAACGTTCCCACCTCCGCTGCCTCCAGTCCCGCTGCTGCCTTTGGCCACCGATACGGATGGGGTCGTGTAGCGATTTGACGGGCCGGACCACGAGTTTGGAAGCTTGCGAAGGGCATGAATACGTCTAGGGCCGTCCCCTGTTACAGCGCTGAAGGAAGCTGGTTGTCGAGCGGATCTTGGCGATAGCGAGGGATGTGAGGAAGACTCCTGCTGTGGGTCAGGGCGGGACGGCGGTGAAGCGGGGATAGGAGATAATGGGGTGAATTGGAGATCACTTCGTTGTTGGATGCCGCTGGGTCGCCGGCTAGTGTGGTGGTAGAAGGTAGGGCCGGGAGCCATGGCGTTTTCGATTCCGAATGGGGGTTATGGGTGATGGGGAAGATAGTCTGCGACACATGGTTAGGATACCCAGGTTGGGGTCGGCTAGATATAGCAGTCCGCATCGTTTTTTGGGCCCATATCTCCTAGCATTAGGAAACAACAATGCCTGAGACACCTTGAAGTAATACCTGCTAGCAGAGCAGTAGGGTGTTGGCCTGAATATCGGATGAAAAGGACCACAAAGTCATTCTGAACCATAATCACCAGAGCATTCTGCATCCTCTTGAGCTGGTGCGGCTGTTAAGCTCATAGGAAGAGTCCGTTAGGCAACTCCTTGTCCATCCATTGTAAAGCCGTCAGGAAGACATTGGCCGGGTATCAAAGGCTTGGACCCAAACATCGTGGTCTTTGAACACGAAGAATGCCCTGATTTGTCTTGCGCACACCAAAGAAACCACATCGGAACGAAAGTCGCAGAGTGCCGAACCGCATTAATATTTTGAGAGTCTATCCGCCAAACGCCGCCCATGATGTCGTTCAATACCCTGGATAGCCGATCTGCCGGTCCATGCCCACTATATCGTACATCCAACTGCGAGGTCTCAGACCATGGTCCATTTCTATCGTGGTCGTCGTCGTTCGGAACCGTATCTCGTCGTTTACTCAGGGCTACCGATGCGTTAGTCGTCGCGGTATCGCAATATCCAGCGTGTGGGGCATACCAGAGAATGGCACCGGCAAAGCCGCTAGCCAAGAAGGTAACAGCTACCTGTGATGATGTCAGTAAACCACCCCTAAGCAACAAAGAAGGTTGGACGCACCCCGAATGCTGTGACGCTGCGGACAATGGAGGCATTCTCGGAGGTGACAAAGGCGTCGTAAAGGCCGGTGATGGGGTTGTATGAGCGGCGGGAGCCGCCGATACGCTTGGGAGCCATGTTGACGATGGGTGTTGCAGTATTCGATTGGTGTTTCCAGTCGATGAAGTTGCGATTGAGAGAATCGAGGTGGGGACTTGGTAGCGAAATTTCATGAACGCACAGACGCAAGCCACGAATGCCAGCCACAATACCCCACACTCAGGTGGCGTTGTAAGGCCCGTTCTGGAAGGAAGTGGGCCTTTCGACATCATTCCACCATCTCACCCCCCACCAGTCCAACCTCCAAGAGATCGATATCATGAGCATGATGAGCTCTTAACCAGCCGATTTCTTGATTTCAGCCTGATGGCCATAGAATGCGCCAGCTCGAAGCTCTGGGGTTATAACACGTGCAAAATCGAAAATGGCTGAAAGCTCGAACGTCCCCCACTCCAGTGTCGGCGGGGGTGGGTTCATCCCAGCGTTGCCCTCACCTGCGCCAACTACATCCACAACAGCCAGCCTACCATCTGCCGGGCTCCCACACCCCCGCTCACGAGCCCTTCGCCCGGGTTCCTCCAAAGAGGACCAGGTGCGGAATTTTGTCTCGGAGCGCATGGCACACATCACTCGGCGCTTCATCAAGAAATTTAAGACAGGGGCAACGGGGGATGACGTGGGGGAAGGAGATGCTCATGTGGATGAGGATGGCGATGATGGGGTTGAGGGTTACAGTTCTATCGATGAGTTATCGAAGGATTTGGATGAAGTAATTGGTGTGGTTTGGCTGTCCGGTACTCGTAAGTGAACCCTGGATAGGCTGCCTATCCTCTGTCCGTTAGCTAATTTTAGCAGCAAATATACAAATTCCGTCACTTCTTAACATAGCCAGCGAGTTCAACACATGGATGGCCGGTCTCCCTGCGTCAGCCAACCCTGTGTTTAAAACACTTCACAAATTAGATCACTGCTTCGCCAGTCTGCTCTCGGGCGAGGATATTGAAACCCACGAGTCACTTCCAGGATTCGAGAACGGCCTCCGCAGCGGAATGTCCCGGACGGATATGGTACGCTGCAAGAGCACGGTCCAGAATGCGAGGGTCGTGGTGGTCGATGTGATGAGCAGACGACATGCGATGGGTGTGATAAGGGAGGCGGAAGGAGAGCCGACAGAAGACACGGAGGATAGCGGTTTGGATGGCCCTGGTGGTACGTGGAATGATGAGGGCGAGGAAGATCTTTACATGGATGTGGCACGGGTATATGAACATACTCTCGTCAAATTGGGTGACACGTTAGGGGAGTCAGGGGTAGCAGATGTGGAAATGTCGGCGGATTAGAAATGCGGTCCATTTGGGTCTAAAGAACCCCTTAACCAGCGTTTAACATGGCGATGTTGTTACCCAAGGTCTCAGTGGTGCGGGCCCATGCCTATCTCCCAGGGCAAGTGCAGTGAAAGCTTAATTGCTCCTGCCTATGCTTTATGCATCATGGGTCGGAAGGATCAATTAATAGCGCCGTGCAATCTATTCAAATCTCAGACAAACCCAGTGCAGTATCATTTAGTCTGTTCCAAGTCATTACCTACTTCCTGTTCATTCACGGTTCCCGAGGGGCTCAACTGTATCAAAGAGTTTTAGCCCCCTTATGTCGCCCACCTTCTTTTCCGACCTTTGTGACCTACAATTCTTCGTATTTCTACAATCTCAATTCCGCAAAATGGCCATGCGCTTGATTCCGGCAGTCTTCGGGAATCAACCCGAGGATCCGGTAGAAACCTTCTTCCGCCGCCTACCCTCGCCCATAGACCACTACAGAGAATGGCTGAATCCACATGCTTCCGAAAAGAACAAACCTACGTGGCATGATGGAATAATTGCTGCGCAGCTATTCATGCTTAGCGCCGAAACGCACGAGTCGAGCGATCCCGATTACAGCCGACTTCTCCCACACATCCGAACTGCCGCGTCGGCCGACGCGCCAACTGACCAGCTGTACGAGCAACTCGGGGCCTTGGCGCTTGAGAAGGACATTGCTGGTGATGACCACAGCTACAAGGCTCAGCATCTCCGTTATGCCCTGTGGATGGCGCAGGGTCGGAAGGATGAGACATCGCCGTTCCCGATTCCGAATGTCCAATTGCCGGAGCTAGACAACTACATGATACCAGCAGGGCCTGACCTGCCGTACTCCCTGGCTACACTGGCTCCCTCCTTTTCGCCGAAAACATGTGCTCAGTGCGAAAAACAGGGCGAGATACTCAAATGTTCCGCCTGCAGGATGCCAGGGCCGGGAACCGATACGCTCGCCACGGCGTACTGCAGCCGGACGTGCCAGGCCAACCATTGGCCGGAACACAAAGCACGATGCAAGGACCTACAACAGTTCTACCGGGCAGCTGCCATGTATCAGCAGATATTTGACCACTTCTTGGCCGAAACCTACACCTTGCAGCCGATAGAGATGACGGAGCGGAACGGGGTGGCCATGATGAAGGAGGAAAGCGGGGAATCCGAAGTCTAGGTGGCATTTCCCACAGGAATGGCCCCGTCACAGGGAGTGGGACAGGCATTGCTGACGCAGACACGGTTCGGTGGAGATCGCGTCTTTGGGGTAGCCAAGTCGTTGTTGGAGATGTTGTTTCGGCGTGAGTCCCCAACCCTAATTCAGATCATATCGCGCTACGTCTAGACACAACATTACTGACGAGGGTGACATTAGCAATCTGTTCGGACATAGTCCAGCTTGATTATCTCCCAAGGAACATCCATCGCCCTGTCTGTGTCGCAGCCATCAACGGCTCTTCTCCAGTTATTCACCGCCTCAACACTTGGACACAGCACACAGCAGCTGTGTTCTTCTTTCCCTCGTCCAATCTACATATTCTTTACAACCCGACTGCATCACAATGTGGTTGGGAGGAAACGGTGTCTACACCAAACGCCTTTTACGCCCAACGTGTGGGAGCGGTGTTGTCCAAGAAGACAATAGATCGATATCTCCCAGGGACGATGTTGACCCAGAACTGGGAGAGAGGCGAACCAACGATCTGGAACCATGGAAAACGGATTTCATGTCGGATTGGGCGTGGCCATGAACATAAACCTGCGAATTCGGAAGAGTTAGCGATTGAGGCGCTCGTGTTGAGCATATGGCCACAAGTGCGGACGAAGTTTGGAAGAGAAGGAAAAGGGAGTTTGAGTGACGGGATGCGGGCATTTTTACGGCTGGGGCGCGAGAAGTTCCCGATCGCCAGCAAGGCTGTCGTCGACGCTGTCAAACGTGGATTGTCGGTCATTGCACGGGAGGTACGGATCGGCAGTGTACCCGTGGTGACAATCCAGAGTCTACAACCGCTCCTAAGAACAGCAGCTCTCACCAGGGGAGCGGGCGGGGATGACACAGAAATTGTCTCCAATTTAGCCCTGATGTGGTGCAGTGAGACGGAGCGGTTGGTCACGCTGAGTCAACCGGGCAATACGGCGAGAACGGAGACCAAGTGGTGGAGAAGGTGGGCTCCCGCGGTGGAAGTCAAGTTACCATGGACGGCAGCGACAGCCCAGGCGGTGATGGCCAGGGCGACACTGCTGGAGAAGGCGGCTGGTATGCAAGTGAGGACGTCGGCGCAGAAGGCGCAGTAGATGGTCGGAGGGTGTGTCACAAATTCTGGCGCAGTAGCGGAGGCGAGGGCCTGATGAGGTTGATAGTAGTTATTCCGGCCCGGAATACGGATCAAGTCTGCGATGTGAGTGGTGGAGATCCCGGCCTGATCTCGGCGCTTGGAAACGGGATCTCGGAACCCCCCCGGGTTTCCTGACCGGCGGGAAGCCCGGGCATTTGTGAAAGTCTTACACTTTGGGGGAACTAACTATGGCTTGGCAGCGGTAGCGGAACATGCGATACTTTAGTCAAAAAGCGTGGAGAATTCAAGATCAGCGTTGTCGATTCCCAAGTCTGGCAACTTGTTCGTGAACATGAAGGCCGGCCGTTATCTAATGGGTGGGGCCGGTACTATGTTTGCAATAAAGAATGTGCTGCCGAACGGGAGTGCCGAGAGGACCGTTTCGGGCGGTTCGTCCGGATGATCGAGGTAAGTTTTGATGTCGATCATTTCTACTATTCTGCTTTGGATCCGTCCTTGGCGGCTCGCGGGGTTAATCGCGCGGTTATCGGTTGTTGTTGAGGATCAGGGAGTGGGATTGTTGGAGTAGGGCTGTTCTCTGCAGGCCTTAATAACTGAATTACCCCTGAACGGATGTAACCCCTGTACCGCATTGAACTCCGACTCAAAATACCCAGTTACCCCAACTCGATCTTCTACAGTCAATATCTCTAATTATTTCATTTTCGCTCTCGTCTCTCCATTTCTCACTTGTTAGGTAAGTCCCTTCGTCGTTTCTCGGGGCCCACCGCAGTTTATTCCGTCCCAGGAGATTTCGGGTGGTCAATTTCCGTCAACCGGCTTGGCCCCCCGACTTGGCTGCACTTGGCTGGACTTGGCCAGACTTGGCTGCACTTGGCTGCACTTGGCTGCACTTGGCGTTACCGCAAAACAAGGACTTGGCGCGTTAGTTTTCGCTGGAGATTCGTGCATTCTGCGGTTCTGGAATGAAGCGAAGAGGGGCGGATGCTGCAGAAGGACGGGATGGAATGTTCTTTTCCTTCTTTCGATTTTGTGCGCGCGGCTGGGGGCGGGCGGAACTCGGCAGAGGGTGAGACACTGAGATCGTGGGGGGGATTCGTTGGCGATGCTGCGGGCATGGGTCACGGGTGGGCGCGCATGTGCGAATCGGTTGGTGTTCCTTGCAGGGCCGAGCGAAAAGAACAGAACGAGTACAGGGGCTGAGAGGGAAAGAATGATGCGGTGGCGGAAGTTCGGGACCGTGGCGCCGTTTTCCGTTGTCCTTCGTTTGTGGTTTCTTTGCTTGTCGCGAAACGGCTTTTTGGTGGTGGGTTGCTGCGGGTGGGCTCGGCGGAGGACCCACGATCTGGGACACGGAGATGCGGGGAGGATGGACCGACGGTGTGGAACGGGGATGGTTATCGATGGGGAGAAGGAGGGATCGAATGGGTTACGTTGTGGAGAGTGTGATTGTGTATAAGAGTACCCTTTCCCCCGGCCTGTTTATCTCCCGTGGTGTTTACCTCCTACCTCCTCAACCGCCCCATCTCCTCTTATCCTTACCTCTTCTGCTTTACCATACCTTCGCCATGGCTCGCACCACTGCCGCCCTCGGGCTGGCCTCGCTCTTCCTAGGCGCGGCCCACGCCCAACTGCCCGGCGAGGCCACCGAGGTCCACCCGGAGCTGACCACCTACCGGTGCTCGCTCGCCGACGGGTGCAAGGAGGAGACCAACTACGTCGTGCTGGACTCGCTCGCCCACCCGGTCCACCAGGCCGACAACGACTTCAACTGCGGCAACTGGGGCGAACCCGCCAACTCGACGGCCTGCCCGGACCAGGAGTCGTGCGCCAAGAACTGCATCATGGAAGGCGTCGATGACTACTCGACCTACGGTATTACCACAAATGGGGATGCGCTACGTCTGCTACAGGTCCTTGATGGCCGCGTCGTCAGCCCCCGCGTGTACTTGCTCGACAGCACCGAGCGCAAGTACGAGATGCTGTCGCTGACTGGCAACGAGTTTGCCTTCGATGTTGACGCCACCAAGCTGCCCTGCGGCATGAACAGTGCACTGTACCTGTCCGAGATGGATCCTACTGGCGCTGAGAGCGAGCTTAACCCCGGTGGTGCTTACTACGGTACTGGGTACTGCGATGCCCAGTGCTATGTCACTCCGTTCATCAACGGTCTTGTACGTTCATCTGATCTGTTACTATTCCTCAAAAAAGTGCCATTGGGACTGACTGATTCTTCTTCCAGGGCAACCTTGACGGCAAGGGCGCGTGCTGCAACGAGATGGACATCTGGGAGGCCAACGGGCGGTCCAACCACGTAGCCCCCCACCCGTGCAACGTCGACGGCCCCTACCTCTGCGAGGGCGCCGAGTGCGAAGCCGACGGCGTTTGCGACAAGAACGGCTGCGCATGGAACCCGTATCGCGTCAACGTGACCGACTACTACGGGAACTCGGCCGACTTCAAGGTCGACACCACCCGCCCCTTCAGCGTCATCACCCAGTTCCCCGCCGACGCCGACGGCAAGTTGACCGCTATCCACCGCCTGTACGTCCAGGACAACAAGGTCATCGAGTCCTACGTTGTCGACGCCGAGGGCCTGCCCAAGACGGATAGCCTCAACGACGAGTTCTGCAGCGCGACTTATTCCACCAAGTACATCGGTCTTGGTGGTACCACCACCATGGGCGATGCGTTGACCCGCGGCATGGTCCTGGCGCTCAGCATCTGGTGGGACGAGGGCGGCAACATGAACTGGCTCGATGCTGGTGAGGCCGGCCCTTGCAACCTTGATGAGGGCAACCCAACCGAGATTGTCAAGGTCGAGCCCAACCCGGAGGTCACTTTCAGCCGCCTGCGCTGGGGTGAGATTGGCTCAACCTATGCTGATGCTAGCACTGGTGGCGGCAAGTGCAAGAAGCGTCGTGCTGCCCACTACTAAGCGGCAAACGGTTAGGAAGAGCAAGGTGGTCGGGTGATGATGTACATAGGGCGGATTGAGGGATGCGGAAAAGGGACGAACAGAGTCAAGTAGATAACTGGCCGTACATAAATTGGAAATTCTGGTTCCGACCTGAAGAAATTACTACTTCATTCCTTTCCTTCGTGAATGTTGGATTTCCTTCCTTCCGGCAAACCCCCGTGGTTAAAACTTCTTTCAGTTGTTTCGTTACTTCCTGCGTGTCTTATCTCAACACCACTTCGAAGAGAAATATTGGCAAATATTCTTTATCTTTCTTTAAGCCTCGAGAGATTGGAACACTCAAATATCGACAAAGAGGAGCCATCACCGTGAAACATTCTGGGAGACCCCCAAGACGCTTAGTGATAGGGTTAGGGTTTAGTACTTGGCTCCTTGGTTGCCAATTTTGCGCGGCTTCACCGTTGTTCTCGACTCAACGAAAAGATCACAAAGGCCTCTACGCTAATCACCCCACCCCGTGGCCCTCGCCACCCCAAATCTACCCATTTTTCGGGTCGGCCGGTCCGGGGCCGGATCTGACCGTAGGATTCAGATGTGTCTTTCGCCAACGTTGGCGTCTTTGGTGGAGCATATTTTCTGCACCAGCGGGGGATTTCGAAGTCGAGACCTCTCCTTTTGGGTCGGTGCTCCACAGATACGTACCATAGGCGCGGGCTGGACCGATCCGGTCAAGGGTCCTGTGAAAACGTCCCGCGATGGGCTGTTTTCGACGTGTTGCTCAAGGAAAGTGAGGTGCTTTATGACAGGTTTGTTTCAGCCCGGTTAAGGTCTCTCATTGAAGAGTGACGTTGCTACTTAGGTGTCCGTGGCATTTAGAGGAAGGCGCTCACGCAGAGACCTCCTGGCGCTTGCTTCTTTGAGCTTATGTCGTGTCGAACCATTCGCATCGTTCCATTGTGACGGAACGGAACGATTGATCAGCCTACCAATCGAGCCAACGTTTCACCGGCCCTTCATCACACACCATGCAAGAAGCTCAAGCAGCGACAAAAACAGGAACAATCCGTCTCAAAATGCCACGTTGAGGCTCGACAGTCCCAACCCCAATCTGAACGTCTCTCACTCTCAGCACCAGGTCCCCAACTGACCCCTGTCAATCGCCCGCAAACCCCTGAACGACCCCAACTTTCAGCGCCTCTCCAACCCATGCCAAGCCGCGGTGCCATGCGGCTTCGGAAGTTTCCCCACAAAGATCCGCGCTGGCGATGCGCCGCTTCGGCCCTGTCTCCATATTTCCCCATCTCAACCCCCCGGGCGGAGCTGCTCGAATGCGGCCTGATGCGGCAACTCGGGAAGACGACTCCGGAGGACAGCACAACAGTTTTTCAAGATAGGCGCATTCGGTCAGTGCGAAGGAAGACTATTTACTCTGGTGGCGGGCTGAGTGGGACGGCGAGAGAGGGGATGGCGTGAGAGATTCTTTTTTTTCTCCGTTTCTAATTTCAAAACAAGCGTTTGTTTTTGTCCGCCTCCTTCGACATCCATTACTGTTTCTTCACCTCTCGCTCCGTGACCATCACCATCCGCCCGAACAACAGTCACCCACCCATCGCCCCCCACCATGAAGCTTGACGCCCTCGTAGCCGCCACCTTCTTGGCCACAACCGCCCAAGCCGTCGGCCCCAACGGCCCCGGCGAGCAGCGGCTGACCGGCGAACCCGAGAAGCTGGCCAACTGGCGCTGGCCCAACCCCTTCACCTCCGACGCCCACAAGCAATTCACCCCCTCCTGCGAGGCCACCGCCAAGTTCGACGCCGAACAGTACATCCTCGAGGATCTCAGCGAGCAAGAGCCCATCGGCCTCCTCGCCTTCCGCGACGCCCTCAAGGAAGTCTTCTCCACCCGCGAGTACCCCGGCAGCTGGGAAGGGATTGACCCGCACGGGTATGACCGCGTGCTGCTGCAGATGGCGTACGATGAGATCCCGCTGGCGGTGCGTGAGTGGCATGAGCACCAGGAACGCACGGATGGCGAGGGGAAGGGCCTGTTTGCGCTGTACCCGCGCCCGGCTCCCGGGACGCGTGTGATGCATACTATTACGATTCCGAAGGAGGTGCCGGTGCCGGAGGAGTGGCGCGAACGGGATAACACGAGGGTGTTGCTGTTTTCGCCGGGGGCCGTGTATGAGACGTTGCCCCTGTGGGTCGCTGAGGGCAGTGATTGCGAGGGTAGGTTGCCTCACTTTTCGTTTGATTTCTTTTTTTTTTCTTGTGTCCGTGGGAGGCCTTGGCCTCAAATCTTGGTCTTGCTTCTGTCCACAACTTCCGCGCCTCGTCTTCGGTGAACCTTGACTTATGCTAATGACTGGATGATAGCAACCCTTCGTGACTTGTCCTTGTACACCGGGGAATTGTCAGATGGCGGCGTGGTCGCCTACCCGGTCACCCACACCACTCCCAACCGGAAGCAGAAGCGCCGAGATATCGAGATTGAAATTAAGGCGCAGGTATTGAAGAAGAACGTTGAGCAGGGTGAGGCCCAGAAGGAGGAGCTGTAGGTTTGAAGGAGCCCAGCGAGGAAGGGATTTGAGGGAAGCCAGCGAGGAAGGGGGAGGGAGAATTGCCAGTTTTACACCGTCTATGCACCTGTATCAGATTTCCTTTGTTAATACCATATGATGAGCATCGTAGCATCAATACCACCATTTTACTCCTTGTTCTTGCCTTTAATTTCACAAGAGTACACGTCCGGACTCCATTCGATTGTTGCCTTGTCACCTTGTGATTCCCACCGTATCACCAATTCAAGGGCGGCCGCCCGCCTGAAGGTATTGCTACTGCCTCTGACCCGGACCGGAGGGCCCAGAGTGAAGCGTTGGATGGTTGGATGGTTGGATTAAATATGGCCGCTCTGCTGTTCGCGCCTGGCGCTAAATGATGTAGGTCACCCGGGGCAGTCGACGGCGTCTAGAAAACTGCCATCTGCTGGGGATGGGTTGCCTCGTCACATTCCGATCCCTTTGAGGAAACTGAGCTTGTTTAATAAATCCTCTCTTTTCTCCCATACCCCTTCCTCCTTCTCCTGCCGCTCCTTAACCACTTCCCTGCGTCTTGTTCGCAGTGGCAGATTCACTAGCAACATCTAGTCACCCGCTTATTTGAACAGTCAATTCGACATCTGGCCCTTGACAAAGCTCAGCGGCCATCATGGATAACAACGACCCTCCGAAGAAGCACCATGTCGTCGTCGACCTGGGAGATCCCAACGCCAAGCCTATGGCCTGCTATGCCGCCGACGAAGAAGAGCCCAGGCCAGGCAGATTAAACTGGCAAACCGCGATCTACTCTATTGATGATGCGCAATGCTTGTATGGAGACGTATGGAACGCGCTGGGGTCCGGTAATGTGTCCACACTCAAGTTCCGGTGTGCCATCTCGACTGGTAGAATCGATGATTCTCTCTGCCCACATCTGGGCAGCGCATCAGTCCCGGCAAGCGACGACTACGAGGACAGCGACAATGAAGCCGGTGATGCACCGTTGAGTCGGACAAGCGAGCTGCGGTTGGGGTTCCAGATGGTTCTTGAGCTTGCTAAACGACTGGTCAACCAATTACCTCCCGGAACGCTCCGCGAATTTAGGTAGGTGTTGTCCCAGCTTATCCCCCCATCGAACGGCGCTGATAACGGAATACTTCCCACGTATAGCTGGGATATAGCAACGTGTGTATCTTCGAGCCTGATAGCGGCACTGGCGGTCGGCCAGCCAGAGCTCGAGTCCCTCAGCCTTACGACCGACGCATTTTGTCCTGTATGTTAACCTGCCAACGAATACCTCGTCGACTTGGATCGCTTCCGAAACCTGAAATCGATCTCGTGCGGTGGGATTCAACCGCACAACCGAAAAGCGTTGCGGGGGGCCATCTTCAACAACCTCCACCATCTTGAGACACCCGACATAGACGCACAGGAGGTGTTTAGCTCTCAGGATTTGTATCCTCGCAGAGCTATTAGTCGTGGGACGATGCATGGGAAACCATGGTAACCCAGTTTCTTGACCCCAGGGCTTGCTTCCCCACTCTTCGCAACCTCCGCCTCGAACGCATGGCATTCAGCGACCCTTGCATTGATGCCCCGAAGAGACAAGTTGATTTCAGCTCGCCGGAGTCGCGCAGTATTGTGCATTGCGGCGTGGACATGGATCTTGTCGACGCAATCGCTAATCATCACCGGGGTCCCCCAAACTTGAAGAGGTTGGAGATCGCGGCGGCGCACCTGTACGAGGCAGAAGGAGCGGTCGGAAAACTACTCAACGGCACCAACGGATTGGTCGACCTTTTTATGTCTGTGAATGCTAAGCGACGACCCGAGACAGGAATAATTCCGGTTTGGAAGGCGATTCAAAATCACAGGACCACCCTCAAACGACTAGCTTGAAAACCAATTAACTACCCCCTTTGACCTGTTTGTTCAAGAATTTGAAGCTGATGATTGTCGGCGATCCTCTCGGTCTACTATCAGAAATGCTTTCTCGATTCTTATATGGTCAAATTCAGTTCTCTCAGGGTTGTGCACGTCCGACAAAGCGGCATCAGCCAGCAATCCCGGATGGATGGGGGTTTACCTCGATCTCGAGCGTTCAACTTCTCAGCCATCCCACCCGACAACCTAAACGGGATTCATTCAGAAAGGTGCCCCGAGGGATTCGACAGGGTGGTTAAAATATCACATCAGCGGCTGCAAGATCCGTCGCTGCTCGATGACGACTTCCGAGCCTTTCTGGATGGGCCTTTGGCCCAACTGGAATATTCTCACTCCAGGTGGTGGCCTTTGGAGACTTTGCATACCGTAGGACCAGCCTGTACCTGCACAACCTCATCATTCGTCGACGCAAGCACGGTTATCAGGTCTTCGATCCCCGCGATGCGGATCATCGGGAGTGGGAGCCTCTGGTTAAGTCGGGCTGGGACGTCTTATCCGCCTGTCCGTTTGAGACGTATTGTCCTCGGCCAACGGATATCTACTGAGACAGGGATGGTTTATGGCATCGATGTGTGCATTGATGTTAGGAGAGAAGGATGCTAGATTGCCAGGACTTTTCCTTTCTCTTCTTGTCTTTTTCTTTCCCTGTTGTTTGTGGAGTCCAATACTTAGACCATCGGCTTCAGTCCCCAAAACATACATTTTCACCACTTCCCGCTCCGCAATTAATTAACGCAGTAGCCTAAAGCTCAGCCGTCATTCTTCCCTAATCTAGGATTTGTGTCCTAGTTCTGAACATGGGTTGCAAGCGCTACGGTCAAGCTGACATTTTGGCATGTGATGGATGTATCAAACAAAATAAACCGCTTTGTTGGGCCGAGATTGTTTGTTTGGACCGCCGGTGGTCGAAGACGCGTTCAACGAGGCGGCATGTGAGACGGTTGGTTCAAAGCCTCCGTCTTTGGGATCCCTCTTCGAAACCTTGGATTAAGGCAGACAGAGCCGGTGTCAAAGCCTGGGCTTCCACTCGATGGTCTAGGTTAGAGCGTGGGAGTACCAAAACATCCTGATTGCTGACCAATCCCAGTGAGATTGACCCGTCTGTTGAGTCCAGCGGGTGTAATTAACAAAAAGTACCAGCCCGCTCCCACACGCTTTATGGTCCTTTTCTTATGCTCGATATCTGAGCCGCGATATGTGGCCTGAGAGTTCCAGTAAGAACAGACCGTTGGTGCAATACGCAGCAAGCACTGTGCAAATCACATCAGGGCTAGGCGGTGTCATTGTGCATTGTGAGGCGGAAGGTCGTTGTTTCTGGCCTCGATTTGCCTCGCCTGGCCATGATGATGGGTATGAGAGGGCCGGTGGGATGCAGGTTGGCCAGTTCCTTGGGTTAACCCTCATCTCCTGCGCCGTGATTTGCAAACTGAGGCTAAGCTGTGAGTGGATGGGAAGCAACGAAAGCCGAAGAGGGCGTCACACCGTCGCCGTATCGATATGCGATGCCGTGTTCAGGTCCTGGTGAGAATGGGTTATGCGAGGCTGGGACATGACATGGACGGGAAAGAGGCCAAACGCTGGGGCGACTGCAGGCTGGGGTGACGAGGTAAATTAGATGCCTCTGACTTCATCTGTATATAAACCAAAGCTGGCGTGAAAACCTTTTCGCACTCATACTTCCTTACACTCAACTTTCTCACTCATACCTTTGATCACTCCACTCCACCACAAACCTTGTACGGTCAACATAAACCATCGCCCCCCAAGAATCCAAACATCATGGCCTACAAGGAGGTACTCAACCCTAACCCCATTCTAGCGGTTGGTGTATCATCGCATTCACACCGCCCCCTCGGTAGTAGATGACGGTTGTCTCACCTTTACGGGGGACGATACCTCTTTGGAAATCAGGAATGCCCGATCTAACGCTTCTCTCCTCGCCGACTTCAACCTCGAATGCTTGGGTCTTGCTTGCAGGCCAGCGGAACTGGTGAGCCGACCTCGATTTGTTTCAACCCGGATTGTTGCACCCCTGTATGGCCGCTTGCAGTGCTAACCCCGCTCATGTTTGATATAGCAAGCACTCCTGATGCCCTTCACCCTCAAATCCACACGGAAGATCGTCCATGTACGGCAGACGGGCCAACATCACACGCCGGGGAAGGATTACAAATCGCGAGCACTACTGAGCGCGAATAAACTGGTCAATCAAGGCATTGAAGTCGAGAAAGTGACAACAACCAAAGGGAAAGTTACTGTTCCATACAGTGACTTGCAGAATGTACTTGACCCGACCTTCAAAAAGTTCCTGAAATTGGCTTTTGGACCTAAGGGAATCTCATCCTTGCAAGTGGTTGTCTTCGGAGACTTTTCCCACTACCGTTACGGCCTGTTCACGCACAATTTGTTCATCTGCCGATCAAATAAGGAAGAGGGGGCTGGCGGAGAGACCTTTCAGGTTTTTGATGCCAGGGACCGGGAACATGCTGAGAGGTGGGAAGAATACCTTGACCCGCAGGAGGACTTTTTCATAGCCTGTCCTACTGGGCCTTATGTACCTATTGAAGGCCAGGTTTACTGATGAATGGGGTTCAATTGAGGGCAGCTTACGATAGTGGTTGGGTTGAGCGAGATTATTTTGTCGCCAGAGGATTGTCAAGGTGTTAAGAAGATCTGGCTCGGAACTCTCTGTCGTGTCAAAAGGATACAAAAGATGTGGAACTATTAGGGTCCTTTTAATTGCGTTGCAAACGGCGTAACTCTCGTTAACTTTGCATCCCCCTCATAAATACCGCATGTCGTGACATTGTGGTTCATATACGCGACTGCTGGTTCGACTTGACAATTTGAACCACGGTTCCTCTTTTTGAGGATGTTACGCAGTGGTGAGTTGCGCCCACCCGTGACACAGCTCTTTGATCAAAATTTGATATTCGGCCATCTCGTTATGTTTCGTTAACTAAACATGCTGTCTTTGTGAGTTGATACTTTGGCAAAACAAACCCACACAAAAACTTATAATCCCCCTTGCTATTTGGTTGATGCCTGAATGCCAGCGGCTTTTCTGGGATTTGTTTAAGACCCCCCCAAATTGATGCTTAATTCCCAGCTCACAGCCAAGCCCTCTTCAACCCCCTTCGTTATAAGAGAGGCTTAATTCCCGCCCTACTAGTGAGGACTTGTTTACAGTTTCACAGCCCCATGGTCAGGGGGTCGAAAGTGGAAAGTAAACAAAAGGGTTAGGGTTTCACATTAACTGGTTCCTTCCCCCACATGCGGATTTGAGGGGTGTGCAAGTCAAATGAGATACCTTCCGTTTTCGTCCAGGTGCCGTTAAGATAATTGGGCGAGCCTGCAAGCCGCTCTTTTGATTCCACAAAATCGCTCACAGGGGAAAGATGACTGAACGAGGAGCATGGGGGTTGTCTCAAATCGGTGCATTCGAAATGGTGTCTTGGGATGGGGCAGCCTCGCACGCCATTTTCGGGCCCTTTGACGAAAGCCACGAAGGCGGACGGTGTACTATGTATCATCCACCGCAACTCCCTCAGTGCCTCATCACCCCTTCATCGCTCACTTTTCTAGGATTCCGGCTTATCATCTCAACTCCCAGAGCAACCTCCATTTTACCTCGCCGGCTCATCTTGACCATCATTCGCCTGTCCCGACTCGTCCGCCTGGTCCGCCGACTTACACCTCCGCTGCAACGACCCAGTTTTTTGTGCCAACGAAAACAGAAACGACACCGCGGCGAATGCGCTTGACGCCGCAAAAGCTATTCGCAATGCGTCAGCATACAATGCCCGAACCGCAACTTCCAAGACCGGCGGCAGCTCGCTGATGGAAAAGAGAGATTGGCGAAGCTTCTCGATGAGCTATCATCGCGTCAGCAACAGTGAACAAATAAGGGGTGCGGAGTTGGGCACAAACCTCCTCGGTAGCCGCGTCACCCAGCGTCCCCGGCAGCCTCACCAACAACACGTTCTGCACGATGGCAGCGGTGATAGTAACACCGTATATTGTGCCCATGGAACGGATCAAGTACACAGTCGACGTAGCAACCGCTTGTTCTGTTGCAGGTTAGTCATGTCCACCACGCTTGCTTGTCAAAGCCCCCATCGGTACTTACCCTGATGCTCAAAGAGAGAGACAAAGCTAAACAGGACACTCGGGTTGGTCAGTCCCAAGCCGAGGTTTGCAGGTACCATGTACAACGATTCTTTCCAACGGCTGTCTGTTATACCCATCGACATCGCGAGGAGATTCCCCAACAACATTGTGGCCGTCCCCAATTGAACGTTCAGGCACAGCGGATACCCGCGGTGCATCAAGACGCCAGCAACCACACCGCCAACTGGGGTTGCAAGAGCGGGAATTATGAGCCGTAAACCGGCCTCCGACGGAGAATCGCCACGCACAGCCTGGAAATAAAGAGGGACCATGAACATGTACTGGAAGGCCGTCAGTGGAAAATCACGGAGATGAGTAAGGAGATCAGTCGGGTCAGGAAGGGAGGAACTCACGGCATAGGCAGCCATCCCGGAAAACACATTCGTCAGCTGGACGACAGTCGGTTGCCAACCTTGCAGCATCCGCAACGGTATCATGGGAATGGCCTTGGTTGTTGCTTCGATCCCCACGAACATGAAGAGGAGGATGACGCTACCCACAAGCGACCCGATTACAAGGGGACTTCCCCACGGGAACTCGTTGCCACCTAGGCTCAGTCCCATAAGTTGGGCCACCAGGGCAATCACGAGCACGAGAGCACCCGAGAAATCTAGACGCTGCATTGCCGACAACAACGGGCGTTTTGGATCCAACGTGGGAACCATGCATGGGGGATTTTCCAGTACCACATATCCGACAATGAGTGCTAGCACCGATACGGGCACTTGGAGCAGAAAGCACCAGCGCCAGCCAATGCTTTCAGCAATGACACCACCACATGACGCACCAAGCACGGCACCGAAGCCCACGAGGATGTTTTGCATGGCCTGATACATGCCGCGCTGCTTGAAGGGAATAATATCCGAGTTGATGACGGTGGCTATGGACGTTCAGCACATCTTGACGGTGTTACAACGGGTTGTAGGAGGTACTTACCCATCGTGATCAACCCTCCACCGCCAAAGCCAGTCACGCCCCGCATAATGTCGAGGACGAGCATACTGTTGGCGACCGAGCAACCGAAGCAACCGACCATGAAGGTTACCGTTGAGATGAAGAAGCATATCCGGCGCCCGAACATATCGGAGAATCGACCATACAGCGGCTGGAAAGCTGTGCTTGTGATCAGGTACGAAGTCGTCAACCACGCCGCGTTATTCACGGCATTGAAGTCGGACCCAATGGCGGCGTATGTCGACGCCGTGATGGTGCCGTCAAAGCCCGATAGGAAAACATTGGCCCACAAGGCTGTTCACGGTCCATTGATCAGCATCAAGCGAGAGATTCAGGTTGGTCGCTGCCTTTTCGTTATGTGCTCCCTTTACGTACCTGTTTCAATCCACCAGAACCCTACGGAAGGCTTCCACTCTTCCTCAAGACATTTTCCAAATGTCACATATGTGGACTTGCTCTGCGATTCGAGGAGAGGCGTTGTTTCGTCAACACCCTCCCCTTGGACGACTTCGTCGTTTACTGTTCGAGTCTCTGCTCTGGCGTTACCGGCCATCTTGTGGATCTCACAGAGTGAATATCTCCCAAGCTGTTGTGTTATTTTTCTTGCCTTCTGTTGGTCGCCGGCGAGCAGTCGAATGTTTCCTCAACGAGACGGCTTTTTCGCAAAGCTTGAGGAGAGGGAAACCCAGATAACTGCCCACCTTGAGGTGGGGGCCCCGCGGCAGAGAGCACCAAATGGTTCGACGACAAGTTCTCTTCCGTCCCAGTCTGAAGAGCTTGGCCCCGACGAGCCAAAGGGGCAAGCGCTGCGTCTAGTGTACTGCTGCAGGCAAGGGACCTAGCGGCACAGAGATCGGCCGACATGATTTTGCCTGCCGCCCGCCAGCCGAAACCGGTGACGATACGGGGTACTGGGGCTGCAGAACGATTGAAGCTGCAATTGCCGTTCTCTCACACCAATGGATGAGATCTCATGAAGTCCATGATGGCATGATCTGCCTCCTTTCCATTGACACAACGTCGTTATCTTTTTATTTCGCTTCTTCATTCGCTTCTTCATTCTGTCCCCTTTCCCGTCTCTGTCTCTTTGCTCAGCAGCGGAGCAGGGTTATCAACATCCGATGCAACCAAAACTGCACCTAATTGGTGTTTGCTCACCTTGTTTCCCGCCAACGTCTTTATCGTAGCGGGCCCATGTGATGCTGCATACCCATGCACCCAGGCTCGACCTGAGTGGCCCGCAACCCAGATTTTTTTTCATGCGGCTCGTTCGCCGAGACAAATCGCCACGAACGCTCTTCAAGGCAAGATTTTTCCAGGCACGCGCCCGGTTGCCGTTTTTTTTTTTTTCCCTTGCGCAGCCTTATCCCTTTCTAGTGTATGCATCGTCCGTCTCGCCTAATATCTACACCGCACACCGTCCGTAGATGGGTGATTTCCAATCCCTTCTTGCCACCTTTGGAATTTGACTTGGACCATGGGTTTCGGTTCCCGCGTTCCCCGATTGGGCCAAGCCGTCTTTGGCGAGCTGATATGCATTAGCGCTGTCCCTATCTTGGCAACTTTCGGTCCTGCACAACGTCTCTGATGCCCCGCACGACTACCGAAGTCTGGATCTCTCGCAGAAGGGGGTTTGCCATATCCTCAATTCGCCGAACTTCAACAAGAAAAAAAGTCGGTGGTAACATCCACAGACATCTTGGGCAAGGGAAGTTCAACCTACCGCGGCGTGTGCTCGGAAGCGGACCCTAGGACGAAAGCGTGACTGGTTTTCTCCAGCGTCAGTGCAGTGCGTCTGGACCTGGATCACAATCCTCCCCACCGTGTTTCGGACAGGTTTCCCCTGTCAACCGTCAAGGACGGACGGGTAAAGGAACCGACGTCGGGAGAGTCCGCTGTTCCCCCCACGGTCCACGCGCCGACGGAGAGAGGGCATTTACCAATCATGGTTGAACATTTTACATAAGTGCGAAGCTTAACTCCAGATCTCGAGGCGGGGCGTTGGTCGATTTTGTGGTGTTCGTGGTGGCTTTTGTTTCAACGGTCAGACCTGGGATGTTGACAGAAACATGGGCATGTTGTCAACTGGGTGTCTTGGGTGAGTCAGCAGGTCCAATCATCGCTTCCAGCGGTTCGAGATTGACAGTTTCCTCGGGAACAACCGAACGTGGCGCCGGAAGCGATGCTTCGGCAGGTCTGTATCCCCGCCATCTAGTAATTCCGAGACAGCTGTTGGTAAAATTCAGGGCAAGACAAGATTAGATGAATCCCGATGCCTTGAGCAGGTGAAGGCCATGAACTAGCCACAATGAGATCATAGCGGCCTAGCCCCGAGCTATTGCGGTGATCTGGCGTTTTGAGGAGACGATGCCTTTGTGAAGGTCATAATAGAGTTGATGCACCTGGATTGTGTGGTTACCAGTGTTCTCAAATTAGGCCAGCTTTTGGACGAGGCGAACAATCTCCTCCTTTCCTGAATCTGGTGGGCATGAAAATCAGGAACATGGATGATAGTGGACTGTGGGACAAGTCAAGGTCATAGGTAGACTGACCATGTATTAATTGATTAATAAACGTAGCCACGAGCACCCCTCGAACCAAAATCTACAAGACGTTATCAATGTGAAATGCAACGGTCAAGCCATGTAGTATCAAGATTGTGTAACGATGGCGCAGACAAGGCCCAATCCCAACAAACTGATAACAACTGTTGGCAGATTGGGCAAATCTTCTCGGTCTTTTTCTCCTGCGCTGCGCGGTGCGGGTGTTCGGTCCGCTCACGAGTTTTTGGGCCAGCCAAGCAACGATAAAGGAAGATTATAAGTTTCGATAGCCGAAGTGGGTCACCTGAAGATGGGAGGCAGCCCCGCGGCCATAGGTTCCCTAGGGCATCACGTTTTCCGGTAGAGGTATGCGGGGAGATGTGTAGTCGGCACCGAGGATGTCAAGTCAGAAACCGCCGCCGCCAGGAGTATCTGACGACAAGCAATGACAAGAGTAACCACAACAATCATGCAGCCCAGCCGGGTCACAATAAACTACTGTCAGTTCCAGTACATTCAAGATGTAACGCGAAATAGGGGTAGCAATTAACAACTTAACAACTCATGTATCATGTTGCCTCTAGTCTCAGTGTCCACCATTTGAAGATTACCGGTTTCATTGGAGACATGAAGTTATAGATTCCCCCTTTCTGGAATTTTCGCCTCTCCATTGGCTTGTCCGATTCATGGGTAGGAGAGTGTTGTCCGAGATAAAATCATGCATCCTCTTGTTACCCTACCCCGGTAGGCAGCATTATCCAGTTCTGGGAATCTACTCTTTTACTACAATGGGCCGAAAACACTTACAGAGCCCTACTCCAATGACACGTAGTGAGGTTAATGACTAAGGAACCAAGGGGCTTTGCTCAGGCCCGGCCCTTGCGTCTGTTGTAATGAATAGCTAAGCGCCCGGCGTATGAGGCACCGTTATCTAATGAGACGAAGCATGCTGTTACTTTCAACACGTCATTCGTTCAACTTAGTTTCCTTCTCAGCATTTGTGATATTCACAAATTCTCGTTAAACCGAGTGTCTACAACTTGACTGTGGGTTGGCGAGATAAATCAAGGCTTACGCGAAAGAGGACCCCTAACTGCACTCTAGTACTCAATCGGAACATTGAAGCACGAGTTGAGACACGGCATTAATCTTTAGAATTGAACTATAACCCCACAAATTCATCGCTGGACCGACTTCTTGTCAATCTTAACCACACTATCCCACATTAGCAACAGGCAGTGATGGTAGCCTGGTAATTAGCCCTCAACTCGCCCAACTAATTACAATGAACAAGAACAAGTTTTCGAAATAGGGAGATTATGACGCCCCAAATCAGATTCCATTAATAATTAAGTAATTATGCGTAGTTGCTGTACGTGCATTGCACAGGCTTCTTCACGTCGACGGTACGCGCGGAGAAACCGAGACATCCCTCCTGGCCAGCGGGCTTTGCAACCGTACCAAGCCAGATGTTCCAGGATCCGTCCTGAGCAGGGCAGCCGATAAGGCCGGTGCCGTTGAAGCTGAGGTTGTCGTTCTCATCCACAGCCCAACCCTTCACCTCCAAATGGCCGGTGGGGTCCGACTCGGTCTTGGTCGAGTAGCGGACAACGCCTTGGCCTGTTCGTCTCGTTAGTGTCTCGTGGGCCAGGAGTGGAAAAAGAATATGAGGACGTACCCATGCCAGAGCGGTCGACCACAAATTGCTGGACGACACCACCCTTCTTTCCGTACAGATACAGCCGTTCGTCCTCGATGTAGAAAGTGGCACTCTTGGGCTTCGAGCCATCTACGCAATCCGCATCAGCCCGCGCGTCGGAAAGGTTCAGGGCGATGCCGTTCTGCGAGGCGCCGGCGCTGGCAAAGTGAATCGGGGAGGCGGAGCGGAGAGCCATGATGCCGAACTTGCGAGGCGACCCAGGGCAAGGGGTGGCCGAAGCCGCAGCCACAAAGAGTGAGAGGATGGTAGTGAGTTGCATGGTGGGTGGTGGTTGATTAACGAAAGTGGTTGTTTGATGACCAAGAAAGTCGGGAAGTGTTTGTGTCGTGAAGCATTGTCTTCTTATAGTTACAACTTTCAATTAATTTGTTTTGCACTCCTGATCGTCGCCATGACGTCCACGGGCCGACGACTGGATACGAGAAGTGCCAAGGGAGTTTGCAGGTCCACTGGGTCTCGTATTTGCCGTGGCGGTATTTGCCGTGGCGTCCACCGGGCACTCGTGACGCTGAGAGCCGGTGCTGTTTCTTGACTCTATGCCCGATCCTGGCAAGCCCCAAAGCGTGTCTGCAGCCAAGCGCGTGAACGCGGTGTCGGGAGAAAGACAGAAATAACTACGAATATTGATTTCTCATGATCAAAACTGTGGGCAACGAAACAGAGTCCCGTTTCCTCCCTGCCAGCTGAAGTTGCGACGCCCAGAATAGCGCAGCTCCAGGCTTGGCACGTTGACACAGCCCACGGAGAAAACTGAGTTGGCTTTCGGGCTTGCCGCGGACGTTAGTTAGCTTGGAACCACAAAAGAATCGGATTTGAGCCGAGCCAAGCCTGCCTCGGTTCGGGGAGACGCGGGGCAATTTTGTTGGGTCGCTGACAACCAAGGTCGTGGGTCGGATTCTTTGTGGGTTTAATTGTGGTTTGTCCACTCTTCAAAGTCAGTGGAAACTCGAATTCTCCACGAATCTGCTTCGACTCAAACAACTGTGGGGCTTTTTGCCCGAGTCCTCGACATCCCGCCGAGACGATCGACCATTTAATGAGAGCACAAAAACTTCGAAACATATCACCTAGTCCGCGAGGAGGCTGATGGTTCTGGTGTTAATCATTGGCACGTATGTAATTATTGTGACCGGGAGCGCAGCAAATTGAAAGCCGATGGGAACAATTTTTCATTCACAAACAAACTAAAGGGTTGCATCCGACTCAATTGAGCTGAGACTACGGAGTAATCAATCTTCAACTCGGACCAGAAACGGCAAAACCCTTTGGTAAAGCTGCGGCATCGGCGACCGCAACGCACAAACGATTCGACCTTTGAAGGTACCAGCCCTGATGAGGGTTTGTATTGTCTATCACTAAAACTACAGAACGCGCCACTCCCGAAGCCACCTTTCGGCCCATATCCTCATTGAGTGACGCTCGGTGGAAGTCTGATACCGAGAGCCATAAAGCCCGCCTGAACAATAGGCTTAGAAGCAGCAAACCGAAGAAGAAACTCAGCGTTCGCGTGCGGTAACTCTCCTTTGATTTGCAAGGCGATAAACTTGAGCAGATGGTCAATATCGGCGGCGTCCTGGTCTTGCCTCTCTCGCCTGTTCTGCGCCCGGTTCTCGGTCCATGAAGCACACCGTATGTTGAGAAGCAGCGTCGGCTTCAGGACGTACACTTGGCCGACCTTGACCGTACCGTTGTTCAGGCAAGCAGGAAACTCCTGCTGGACGCGCCCTGGCTCGCGGAAGTAAATATTGACCCTCTTACCCTCCTTTTCGTACCAAACCCGCAGCTTCCCCCCCTCCTGACGGTTCTTGAAGGCGCTATTCTTGGGTGCACAAAGCGTCTTGACTGTCTCACCCGTTTCGCCAGCGGGGACAAACACCTCCACGTCCTCGACGGCGCGGTTGATGCCCAGGAGTCCGAGGGCGCAAGCGCCAATGATGGCATAGGGGGTGCTCCGGAGATTTTGAGCCAGTCTGCCGACACAAATCTTGGCTGCCGAGCGGGCAAAGTCGCCGTTTTCCGTGATAGTCCCACTGATTAGGGCCTGAGATATCAAGCTGGCCGCAGGCGCGGCTGCGCGCAGGGCTGAAGCGACGATAGGGCGAGGGAGGGGGTCGTCGGTTCGATTTCTGTTCGCGCTTCCGTTTGAGCTGTTGTTTGTCGCGGTGGTTGCCGACGGTCTCGTCGGTCCGCCTCCTCCGCCGCCGCCGCCACGACCCCCCCGCGAAGACCTGATTGGCAAAGAGTTGTTGTCCATATTGCTGAATGAGAGATGGGCTGTACTTAGGAGATGATGTTACGTCGGGCAAGTGAACGACGAGATGTCAATTGGGACAAACAGGATGAAGTGAGTATAGTTCCGGGAAGAATGCATATAATTCACAGACAAATGTTCCGGGTCTATGTTTTAATTATCCAACTCGAAGGTCTGGCATTCCTATCTACTTTATCTATGTTTGAGCGTAGGCAACTTCGGCCTGAAGGCAATTTGCGCCCAGCTTCCTGTCGGCTACGCTGAAACCATCTAAGAGAGGCTGAACGTGAAATCCTGAATAGGTGGGAGGAAGTCGCCTAGTATAGTGCTCTAGTCGGCCGGTACGCCGCAGAAATGAAACCGGCGGATTGCCTCAAAGGCCGGGGTAATTTCTACTAACGCCTTTTGCAGCGCCGCAATAAGGTGCTATAGGCTACCGGAGACCACCATTCGCGGCCATCCCGTGGCCCTAACGGGGCCAAGGCTAGAGTTGTTGGTGGAATGCTGACATGGCCAAACATAGGCAGCGAAACGAATCCTGAGGCCCGTTTTTGGCCAAAAAGTTGATGAACTATCCTCCAGTGAGGTCGTTGATCAAGAGAATCTTGGAACGCCAACTTCTTGCTGCGTTGGGTCCTTTTTACAGGCCCACACAAACGCCCGATCCGGTAAGGGCTGCTTACATAACCATTCAGTGACCTGTTGGGTGGCTTGTCACGGTCCCTTCCACGTGCCTCGGTCTCCAAAGCAAGGCGAGGCGCAGGCGGAAGATTGTAGTCGGCTGAACACGCAGCCCCAGTTTGAGTGACCAGCCCGACGACCTTATCCTTCCCGAGTCACCGGCGCGGCATAGCCACGCAGCCGGTCTCCGAATCGAACCGCAGGTCACACGGCTCGGGCGGGCGTGGAGAGAACGGAGCTCGGTAGCTCATTTTAGCGTCTACGATGACTTCGCGTCGTGGTCGCGAGGCAGAACTTCACTGCAGAAACAATGATGACATATTTGAGTCAACGCAAGGCAAACACGGATTTAGCGCGACAAGCATTTCACATATTTACCCATTCCCACCCTGATCCATCATCCATATGTCCAGCTTGAATAAGACCACATTCTTCATCTGGTGAACTCAACTAGTTAGACCCTAATACATTTCCTGTTATCTATCTGTTGTTTTTTTCTCTTCTATTTTCACATGGCGTTCCCAATCGCAGAAGTGTTTTCGCGAAATTACATCTTGGTACGTTGATTGTTGAATGGCACAGTTCAACTCGTGACCATTACATCGCTAACCGGCCTGGCCAACTTTAGGACCATGTTTGGTTCCTTCAGAGATTCCGCGCTCTGCTTACCCACGTCGAGTCGCCTGGGTTGTCAGCTACTCACTACCCGCCTTCTCTTGTAAACAGGGCTACTGAAGAAGAGAATCGGCAATGGAGAGTTCAGGCCTTCTTGATGAACGCGGAGGTGCGGTATTCCTTTTATCTTCAAGTCCTGGACGATTGGATTCGCCAACATGGCCGTACAGCACTTAAGAGGGATTGGCCGCTCCCGCCCTGGGATGTTGCGGTTATGTTCTACATTCACATGTTATCCCCTGAGCGGTTCCAGAAGGACATGACCACAGAGTACCGTCGCCTATGGACCGCTGGGCTCTTCTTCCCTCTCGCCCGACTCAGGGCATTGGGAGACGGCAGTGACGAGGCCTCGCAGAAGGCATGGGAAGCTCTGTATCCCGACATTCCCTATCAACTTTTCGAATTCGGGCCCAACGACGATAGCGCACGGCTCTCGACAAAACACCTACAGCAGCTTGATATCCGGGGCTATAAATGCGGCTCCAAACCTTGCACAACCCGCACTCGGAAGAACAACCACCAAATCATTCCGATGGTTGAATGGTCCGCCTACCGCCTCGGCAAGCGCCACAGTCCGGTCTGCCCCTCTTGCAAGACGAGCTTCTCGTCGAAGCAAGGCGGATACAGCTCAGCCTTTGCGAAATTCTGTGAGACCGTTTTCGGCCAACACGTGTTTGGGCTCTGGGACGCACCGCTACGCCAGATCGGCTTTATCGACCGGATCCTATCCCAGACGAGGACTGCGGGTCTGTCAACGACAACCTGGCCACTACCAATCACAACACTCATTAATGATGCCCAAATTGAGGTCTACCAGGCCCGGTATGTAAAGTTCCTGCAGCTCATGAAAACACACCCCAGCACCATCTTCGTGCCGACGCTCGACATCGATCTCGTCTGGCACACCCACCAACTCTCGCCCTACGCATACAGCACCTACTGCCGCACCCACGTCGGCCGCCCCATCAACCACGACGACACCATCCCCGCGACCGGCCGGTCCACCGCGCTCGACGACACCAAGCGGTACTGGAGCCTGGCCTACGGGGAACTGTTTCTGGGCGGACCGGCGAAGACCACTACGCTCCTGCACGAGAAGCTAGCGGTTATGGCTGTGCGAAAGCAAGAGAAGGAGGCGGGACTAGAGGAGTTTGACCGCACCCACAATGTGAAGGCTTTCACCGAGGACGTGGAGCGGCAACAGCGGGAAGTCACGCAGATCGTTGGAAAACTGTTGGCGCTGGGGAACGAGCGGGACACCCTCCGTCGCGTGCTTAGCCAACGACAGCGCGAGCGGGACTGGATTCGGCCGAAAATCAAGTTGTTTGGGCTCAAGTACTACTCCAGAAAGGGCAAGGCCGCACGGAAGCTAAAAGAACAGGAGGTTTTGGAGGCGGAGAAGCAGAAGAACGCGAAACAAGCGGAATACGATGAGTTGGATCAAGGTTCTCGCGCGACTAGGGACGAATGGACACGCAAGCAGAACCTCCACAAATCACTAATGGTGGATAGATCGGCGCTCGAGGCGCGGCTCCAGGCCCCAGTGGCCGCCGTGGAAGAAGAGATTGTGCGAGATTGTATTGAGTATGCCGATAAACTCAGGGGAACCCCGTTGGGCGAGGGAATTAGGAGTGTAGTGCCCTCTGATGCACAGATCATGCCGTTGCCTGTGGTAGGGAAGTGGCCTCGGGGACATAACGGGCCGGTGCGGAGTTGGGGCACGGGAGTCGGTACGGTGTCGTACTCGCAGCCTTCTAGTGGGGGAGGAGGGGGTTCGTTTGGCGGGCTTGCGTTTGGGCCGGACTACTCAGGTGATTATGGGGGCTGCGGAGGTGACGGCTGGGGCTCACCTAGTAGCGGTGGAGGAGGAGGCGGTTGCGGGGGTGGTGGTGGTGGTGGAAGTTCCAGCGGGGGTGGGTGTGGAGGAGGAGGTGGTGGTGGTGGTGGTTGCGGAGGTGGCGGTGGATGTGGAGGTGGAGGTGGTGGATGTGGTGGAGGGTAATGAGTTCTACTTTTGCCGGCGTGTTGGATGGTTGGCTGTTTTAGAAGTCCGTCAGTATATTACGACTTATTTTTATAAGTTTAAGATGTGTTGTTTCATGTTCAATCTTTCAAACAGCAAAGAGTCCCACCAGAATGCTGTAGAGCTCTATGCATGACCCAACTCTGCGCAACGGTAATTAGTATGTAGGCTAGAGACACCCGGAATCCGTTTAGTTGACTGAGTACCACAAAGGCGGGCCATGGACATGCTCAGCTGACAGCACATCCCTTAATTAAGGTTTTGATCAAGTTCAGGTGGTTAGTTTAGCAACCTCCTGACGCCCCATGGAACCGAGGGGCACTTATACATTACACGGCCGCAAGCGGGTTCATATATGATAACCGTCCCAAACTGGATTCAGCGGCGCTGCCCGGTGCTGGAGTTGACGAGGCACGAGATTTTGGAGATATATGTGCCGGTATACTTTAATTTGCACCGACTTCGGTGATTCGAAACGCTACTATTATCTCCGCCCATCGTGAAGATCATACATGTCCCGACCGAAGATGTTTTTTTCGGCGTTATGCACGACGACGACTTGCAGCCCTGCGAGGAGAACGCATGTGTTTTGGTAGTTTGACTTCAAATAAATTACACCCCGGTCTAGGTTTATCTGGGCCTTTGGCATATTCCCAATAATACAAACTTTGTATTCTGTTCAGGATGGATTTATCATTCGGATAACTGAGGGGGGGCCTTTACATTTGTGTTATCGGATCTTGCCCTCCCAGCTCCTTAGCTAGAATTGATTATAATGAGCTATCACTTGCTCCATCGTCACGATTACATCGTTCTGACAGTATGGCTGAACTCTTCTCAGCCAGTTTTTGTCTCATTCAGACCCAGCTGATCAACCCGATAAGCTTTACCGTCTTCACCTTATTTGAGGGGATGTTACGGACAGAGGGTCTCATGTTTCGCCTCAGCTGTGGTGCATTGCAGGTTTACATTGGCGTCAAAGCGGCGATGTCATAACTCTAACTCTCCTTTACGCTTGTAGCCGCGGGTATATTAGTACCGTACTGGGCGTGCGTGCAGATCGTAGCGGATGCTTGGGGGCGAAGAAAACTGAGCTGAAATGGTCGTCGGGTATCCGAGAATATTGTCTCCGAAATTTCGGCCTTGGGTCTACTAAACGTTAATTAACAATCTGAGCTTCGGGAAGCCGAGTCAAAAAATAGAACTTTCGACAAAAATTAAGTCCCCTCGACCGGAATCGAGCCGGTGACCTTTCGGTATCAATAATTTCCATTACAGCCGAACGTGATATCCAACTACACCACAAGGGGGTTTTGTTACGACGTTCGCCGGTGGATCGGGAGAACGGTTTGTGAGGGTGAGAGAGAGTGTCGGCGGCGGAGGTCGGCGGGGTTGACCACCGAAAACCCCGCTGCCAAGACTGGAAGGGCGGGGGCTGGCGCCGGCCTGGGGCGTTGGGAATTAAGCGCGTTGTGACGATGCCCAGCAGCCGCAATTTTGCCTATGGTGCTCCACTTGACACTTTTTGTCAGCTTAATCCCAACCAGGAAGGCGCCTGAAAGAGCTATGAAAATGGCCTTGAACTTTTGATCAGACGAACCGCCGTCGGACTTGTTTGAACCAGTGGAAGTACGTGTACTCTGGAGATGCATGCTGGGCCGGGGCTTGGGCGAATGCACGCGGCCGTTTTTCAGGACCGGACCTGGCCTGCATCTCAGGGCCGTTGCCCCTCGAATCCCAAAAAGCCCCGCCGCTTGGCTGACGTCGAAATGAGTGCGCAGTGAGTTTGCAACACAACCAGACCGTCATTTAAAATTCTATCGCCGCCAATATAAGGATGTAACTTAGGCATCTTTGGCGGCCAAATGGCAAAGAACTATGAGGAAAGATGATGGATCATACCAGGTAGGTTACTTCGTACAGAGTAACTTTTGGGTCCTTGCACGCCAAGCACCTTCCAGAACCTGGATCGCGTCGCGAAGGCTGTGCCGTTTGGTCGGGCGCCATGGCACCGAACGGGAAGGTGCCCGGGGGACTCTGGGGTGGGACTCCTGCATTTGATGTGTTTGCCAGTTATTGCCAGCTATTGCCACTTGCTGACAGCCAATGACGGCTACCAACGGCCGCTGGGAGCCCCTGTTCGTCCTATCTTGGGCCTGTCGCGACAGACCCGCGCTGCCGCGGTCCGTGGCCCATGCACAAGGAACCCGAGCAACAACTCAACCGCTAGCCCTTTTGGCCAATGACACCCATCAAGGAAGCAGCTGCCTCTTTGGCTCTGTGCTGCACACGACAGCGTTTCCCGCCTGCAGACGGGCCTTTTCCACCCAGTGCCTGCATTTTGTGATTCCCTCAGCCCCCCTTGTCCTAGCCACAACGTGCGATGAGTGAGCCGAGGGCCGATCATCGCCGCCTCGAGGACCAGGCGGGAAGGAGGAGAAGTGTAACGCAACGGTTCCCGGTTCATGCTTCCTGCCGTATGTAATTTATAAACACGCCGGTAGCGGCCATGGAAATAGCGGTTTACTTATCTCACCTTTCCCCTCCACCACCTCCTTCCTCCTCTCCTCTCCCGCAACCGCGGGCACCCCCCTAACCCCCCCGACAGTTTCCCTCCTCTTGGCTGACGGGATTCCTCATACCACCACCACCCCGTCATCACCGCCATGAGGTTCACCGCCGCGGCCGCCCTTGCGGCAGGCCTTCTTCAGGCGATTTCCGCCGTTGCCAAAATGCAGAGCAATGCCATGGACATTGGCCCGGAAGACCCGAATGCCTTCGCCGATGAGCTGCACCGTCGTGATGACGGCACCCCCACCAAGGGTTGGGGCACTTTTGACCAGCTCATCGACCACGCCAACCCGCACCTGGGCACGTTCAAGCAGCGATACTGGTACGGTATCCAGTTTTGGAAAGGCCCCGGCTCTCCAGTTTACCTGGTCACCCCTGGCGAGCAGAGCGGAGAAGGATTCAACAGAACATGGCTGAGCACGCAGCGCTTGACCGGTGTCATGGCGAACCATACGGGCGGCGCGATGGTGGTGTTGGAGCATCGCTACTGGGGCGAGTCATCACCGTTCCAGGAGTTGACGGTCGACAATCTGCAGTATTTGACACTGGACAACTCGCTCAAGGATCTGACGCATTTCGCCAAGACCTTCGTCCCCCCTTTCGACAAGAGTGGTAAAAGCTCTGCAGACAACGCGCCGTGGGTGTACGCGGGTGGTTCGTACTCGGGGGCGCTGGCGGGCTGGTTGGCGGCCCTGGAGCCGGATACGTTTTGGGCGTACTACAGCTCCAGCGGTGTCGTGCAGGCGGTGGGTGATTTCTGGCAGTACTTTGCGCCTGTCCAGGAAGCGACGCCGGCCAACTGCAGTGCGGATGTCAATGCGGTGATTGACTATGTGGACTTGACGCTTAAGTTTGGATCGAAGAAGAGTAAACAAGCGTTGAAGGACAAGTTCTCGCTCGGAGACCTCCAGGACGAGGACTTTGCCGCGTAAGTTTCTCGTGCATCCGCCAGGAATTGAGGAATATACGAGGCTAACGAACGCAGCGCGCTTGAATGGGGCCCCTGGCAGTGGCAGTCGACCCAGCTCTACTCGCTCAACACCACTGGCGTCAACTTGTACTACGAGTTCTGCGATTACATCGAAAACGTGTCGCCCAACTCCACCCACAAACTCCCCGGCGCTAAGGGTGTCGGCTTGACGAAGGCGCTCAACGGGTACGCCAAGTACGTTAAGGAGGTGGTCATCCCTGACTGTAAGTTCCCATAAGTTGGCCCGAAACACGATTGTACACGTGCTGATGTTATTTAGTCTGCGCGAGCGCGGGCTACGACGAGTGGAAGGGTGCATCGAACACGCTCTGCTTCCAAAACCTCAATGCCTCGAACGTGGCTTACAAGGACCTGGCGCCTGACAACTGGGTGAACCGCCAGTGGAATTGGATGCTGTGCAACGAGCCGTAAGTTCACGTCCGCGACAACTCCGTAATCCCTTTGTGGATACTAACTCCGCGTAGCTTTGAGTGGTGGCAAGATGGTGCTCCCCTCGGTCAACGCACCTTGGTCTCCCGCTACGTCAACGCCGACTACTGGCGCAAGCAGTGCCCGCTACACTTCCCCGAGGGCGGCTATGGGCTTGCCAGCGGAGAGCGCGCGAGGGATGTCAACAAATGGACCGGCGGATGGAACGCGCTCAACACGACGCGCGCGATGCATACAAACGGCCAATGGGACCCGTGGCGCGATGCGACGTTGTCCAGCTCGTTCCGCCCCGGGGGACCGGTCAAGAGCACCGAGCATTTGCCGGTGCGTATAGTTGAACACGGCACGCACTGCTCAGATTTGTATGCACCGAACTGGGACGCGAGCGAGCAGGCTGCTGCTGTGGCAAACGACGCGACGCAGCAGATGGCCGGGTGGGTCGCAGAATGGTACGAGGAGAAGGGGAAAGCCAAGCCTTGGGAGTGACGAAGTGATATGGGTTGACAAGACGACTATCATTTCAGGAGATGAGGTGGCGGTAATGACTTGAGCTTGATATCACCTTAAAACGTAATTAACTTTATGAGAGATGATTGACGCCGACCATAGTGTCATAGAGTCACGACATCACTGTGTCTATCAAATGCATTAATGCAATCGTTTTGGTGTATCAGCACTCGGAACAATATATTACAGCGTGCTTGGGAATTAAGCTTTGACTTTGCCGCACTGTGCGGGTATCCCCGTCTTGCCTCGAGGATCAACAGAGCATGATGCACCTGATTCGGACGGCAAAAGAACTCCTAACGGGATCTCTAGACTATTTCCTTCCTCCACAGCCCATACACAATTTTCCCCGTTCCCATCCACCCCCACCGACACTACGAGGTTTATTTCATTTGGGGTGCCTCCGATCTAGGTTTCGCCATGATGGAAGGCTATTTTGCTGATTGCGACCCGGCTACACGCTTTTTTGTCTTTTACAAAGGATGGAGTCCTGAAAGCAAGCCTCGCTACGTCATCATCGATTGGGACCAACGTCGAGCCATTTCCGTTTCTACGGGAGATGAGGAAAAAGACGAGGCATTTGTATTTAAAGCGTTGGATGCGGTGATTGATGACCTACCGCGAGACGTTACACAAATCCTCGTTTCCAATGACCTCGAGCTCGTGCATTGTTCGTTAGATACCCGGTACGACTGGACCGAGATCCTGTTTTATCCATCTCTGGACGAATTCCCGTCAGGGGTGCCGACAATTCGACGAAGCGAACTAACGGAAGTCCAGAGGCTTGGACCGCAAATCGACCACGTCACGTATCAATCGCCGTCGCCGCCAGATACCACGAAGCATGCAGTAATTATTCAAATACTACTTTCAGTACCAAAAAAGCATTTCCTGCGTTTGGCATGAGGCCAACTGCATTCTGAGACTTCCGCCACATCCTAATCTTGTGGCCTTTGATCGTCTTGTTGTTGATTGTGCGGACGGAGGGGCAGCGGATGTGGTAGTTGGATTCACCACACGCTTCGTTGCAGGGGCGAGCTTGGGGGATGACAACAGCCGCGTATTCAAGCTCAAATACCTTGAGCAGCTCCTCCAGGTCGGGATGGCTCATTGGGCTTATCGGAAGGGCATCCAGATTGCTAACTTGTTTCTAGGCCGTCGATCACATCAACCTCAGATTAGGTATCGTGCACAACTACATCTACTTGTGGAATATACTGATTGACGACGACGCCGACAACGTGGTACTTGTGAATTTTGAGATGGCTGTAAAGTTTGGCTGGGAGCTTGATCCGGCTCATCGGAACGTTATGGGGTGCGAAGAAGTCTGTCTTGACGTCAAGCTCACGGTCTTTACGGTTTATGAACTCATCACGCAAGACTCCTCTTTTCGAGAACACAATCTGACCACGCCCGACGATCTGAATATGGCCCAGGTCCTTGGCCTCGACAACTGAGAGCTGCACCCTGATATCCTTCTAGAGGAAGGGGTGCCTGTCTCGAAGTATCGGCAGATGCTTGAAGAATGGGTCAAGGCTCGACAATGCATGAACGCCGAATTCAGGGACGGCAAAGAGGCACCCGACTCCATAGACTGGCCGGACGTGCCGGAGGACCCTCTTGCGGCTGACCCGACCAGAGCGGGAAAATGGTGGAAGGGTGAATTACAGCGGCGGTCATTTTTGACGCAACACAGCCTGCCCTTTCTTCAATGGTATGTGAGAGCCGTCGTTTTCCATACCGCAGTCCTTTCCCCGCCCAAGATTCAAAAGCAGAACTAGCTTCTGCGCAACTTGAGGCGTTACTCACGATTTACTAATTCGGACCTTGAATATTCTGGGTAGGCAACGCCCTGCAACTTGTCATCTTCCGCCCCCTCCCGGTCAACGGTTACTAGCAACTGGGACAATACTCTCCGAGGTCGTACCATGTAAGTTGTAACTTAGCGTGCCAGGGGCAAGATTAGGTCGCCGGGTTAGCTATGGCCAAAAAACAGCGATAGACCATGTCCCTAGAGGCCCCACTGTTCTACAAAAGTGAAAAAAGATAAAAAAGGCATAACTAAGTAAAAAAAAAAAGTAGCAAGAAGAAAAGTAGGAGGAAAAAAAATAAATCAAAAAAAGTGAAAGAAAACGAAAAAGAATAAATCAAGCCATCGGAAGTTTAAAACAAGATTTTAACCAACAATAGTTACTACATCCACACAGATATTAGGCTTTTAGGCAGTGATTGCGGTTATAATCGTCAAAACCCGTTAAGATTTGATGGAATGCTGACGGATCAAACTCGAGCTACGGATATCTATTTTGGTCTGCCGCTTTTTCTGGCCACGGCGGCCGAGGGCCACAGTGTCCCTTCATCACGCAATCTCCAACGGGGTTTAAATTAACTACGTTAAGTAGCCCCTATCGTGAAGTTGCGGTCGTCATCAGACATCCATCAACCTCTCTGTCATGAAACATTCGTACAACGATTAGAGGTCATTGGCGTCCACGTCCTCGGACCTGAGCACCGTCCTCTCCACAGTGACCCTCGTCTCGCTGACCTTTTGCCGCAGCACCTCGGTCGCCTGCTGCTGCTGATTTTTCGCCCCCGACTCGATCGCCCGCCTGGCCGACGCATCCAGCGCCTGTACGCCCAGCTGCCGCATTTCCTCTTCGATCTGCCTCGTCTCCGCTTCCGCCCGGCGTGCGCGCTCCCGCAACGTGCGCAGCATCTCCTGCTGCTTGGCCGAGACCATGGTGGCCACCTTCTTCGACGCGTTCTCAGTGTAGGCGGCCAGCTTGGCCTGCAGGTCCGGCATGCCGTCGTTGCGTGATGTGCCTTTGGACAGCTCGTAGCAAAGCTCGACGCCACCGACAATGTGGTCACGGTGGACGATGGAGTACATCTGCGAGATGTCCTGGAGGAGCGAGAAGTAGGCCTTGAGCTGGAGGGTGGAGGTGTAGATACCCTGCTTGTTGATGTCGTCGACGAGGAGGACGCCGGAGCGCAGGGTGCGCTTAGCGGTCTTGTCGAGCGCCTTTTCAAAGTCGTTGGCGCGCGGCATGACGAGCACGTCGATGACGGTGGTCAGCAGGATGAAGAAGCGCTCGAGGCGGGTAATCTGCACTATCAGGTCGGCCAGCACGGCGATACAGTCGCGCAGGACCTTCTTGATCTCCTCGAGCGTTTGACCCGTCTTGGCCAGCTTGGTGAGCTTGGCCTGGATCGCGGCCATGGCCTTGGCGACCTTTTCTTGCTTGTCAACCGCGGCATCGTAGGCCTTCTCGGCGTTGTCGAGCGCCTGCTGGGCAATTTGCACGCCTTGCATGGCCGAGTTGAGCTGGGCGGTCTGGGCCGAAAGATCTGGTGGTGGGATCTGGACGCCACCAAAGGCCTGGGGAACGCTGGTCGAGCCGCTGGTCTTGGCCACGGCCGCGAGCTCGATGATATCATCACGGGCTTTGAGGCAGGTGGCCTTCCACTCCTTGGACACGGATTCGGCCGGGTCGAGCGACGAATTGAGCTCGTTCTGCTTGCGAAGATGGGTCTGCAGCTCCGTGGCCAGCTTGATCAACGAGTCGTACGCGCCCAGGAGCTTCTTGTTCGGCTCCGTGTTGGTTACGTCGATGTTGGCCTTTTGGCCCTTGAGCGTGCCCAAGATGTAGGCTAAGCCCTGGGGAACGTCGTCACCGTCCTTAGTCTTGTCGTCGGCGTCGGTGGAGTCCTTGGATTTGGTTGGTGTCTCCTTGAACTTGTCCCACTGGATCTTGCCCTTTTCACCGCCGAGGAAGATGTAGAAGTGGTTCACAAGGTTCTGGACAGTTGCGGCCGTAGCGTAGGAGGGGTCCGTGGGAGTGGTGGTTGAGGACTTGGCCGTCGCCGTGCCCGTCGATGAAGCCGCGGCCCCGTTCTGCCCACCAGCTGCGGTACCGACAGCATTCGCAGCAGCACCCGCCACAAGAGCGGCACCCCCCGTCTTAGCCGCCACAACACCTCCCACAATGCTGGGAAGGGCCTGGGCAAAACTGGTGACGGCCGTCTGCAGAACGGTCGCCCAAGGGCCGGGTACCTTGTCGATCATGGTGTCCAGGTTCTGCTGCTGCTTATCCACGTTCTTGGCCGCGCGCGTGACCTGCTTCTTGACATCTTCTAGGGCGTCACTAGTGTGCGACTTCTCAATCTCAGCCACGGCCTCGTCCACGCGTGTCCTCTCTTCGTCGATGGCCGTGAGCCCTTCCTGGTTCTCGGCCACGGAGTGCAGCTCACCAACCATCTTGCCCCACTTGCTAAACGCCTCGCGCATGGCGGTGGCCAACTTGGCACACGTCTTGGCGTCGTTGGAGAAGTCCTCAAGCGCGTCCTTGAAGTCTTCGTATTGGTCCTGGCCCTTCGTGCAGGGGCCGAGACGGCGAAAGACCCAGGGGATGCGCTCGTCACAGATACGTATGCTGGTTAGCCGCAGTGCGTCCATGTTCTCCCCGGCCACGGTGAAGGCCTCCCGCCCGCCGTTATTGCAGACTGGAAAGTGTTAACATCGCTGGACATACGTATCTTGAAGACCCTCGATTAAAAAAGAAACAGAGAAGAAAGGGGGTGAACGCACCATCCACGAGACACGACCGCAACGTCGGGTTCGGCACATTGTTCATGTACTTGAAGCCATCAACGGGCTTGGACTTGGCAAGCGATATCTTCTCGGCCGTTGGGTTGGAGGCGGCGAGCCAACAAGACCCCATCAACGACAAGGCCGTGGGGGCCGCGCCCAAAAGACCGCCCCAGTCGTGCTGGAAGAGCGTCGCGCCCTTAAGCTCGTTGACGAACTTTTCGGAGACCTTGCCATATTCCTCCTTGGCGGAGGATGTCTGGATTCGGTCAATGCGCTCGAGCGCGGTCACCGCGGTGGAAGTCATCTTGGGCGAGTATACACCTCAAGGAGGACAGTGGGGAGAAAGATTCAGGGGAGAAATGCGAACCAGGCAGAGAAGGGTTCGGGGGACCTGGTGCCACTGACGAGATACCAGGGCACTTTGCTTTTCACACTTCGGTGCGTTACTTATACATGTTCATTTCTCCCTGAATCTTGGAGACAGGAAGCCCGCTTAGACTCTCCTCCTCGGGCTCGTTGCGCAAGGTATGTACATCGTACCCAGATTCCTCGCGGCCAATCGTTCCTTGGTTATCTCCGCTCTGTTCTCTATCTGCGTCACTCGATGTCTCTTGAACCGGTTTGAAGTTTCCCTTCGTTGCTTTTTCTTGCTTATGCCGCGCGTTCCGCGCGTTGAACGCTGTCCACAACTCGCGGGAGGCCAATGAGCAGGTTCAATGTCGACCTGAAGTTCAAAAAGGTCGGGAAACTTAGGTTCCATTGCATCTATGTCACGGCCCGGCCTCCTAGTGACGGCCAGTGGGGATAACCTCGGGTTGACGGCTCCCAATCCCTCGCAGTTGTCCCAGCTGTGTGCCCACTTCCCCTTCACCGGGACCCCGCCTCAGCTCCCTACTGCGCGCGGGGTCGACGTCGACCATTGCCATCTTGGTACGAGCTGCATACCTACCATCCTCTATCATTTCGGTGATCGAAGCTTGGGAGGTTTGGGGTACACTTCGATTGCGCACCTCGAGGTTTTGTGTAATCTCGCTGAGAGAGTCGTAGCCAATGGGCGTTGGCATGCACGCGCTGCTGCATGGTGGCTCGCTGCATGCTACCTTATATGGCCCAATGCACCGGAGCCCAACTCGCGACGATCTAGACCGCTCCCTGCGGGAAACACCGCGGACTTGCTACGCCATGCTGAAAACAGAATGCGACTAGCTCAAAGATGAGCGAAATAATTCCGAGAGAACCGCGGGGAAATTGATAGAGGTGATGGGCGGGAGTCGAAGGGGATGAGGTGACGAAGAGAAAAGAATGAAGGGATCCGAATAGGATCGTGATCGACCGGGGTGGCGCCGCGATGAGAGGAAGTGGACGGCAGTCGTCAAGCGGCCGAGGAGTGGAGGACTTCAGGTGCTTAAGACAGGCAGAGTCTCGACTATAAAATCACAATATTCTCGGCTTGCGTCGTGGGAAGGTGGTTTGGCCAACACACACGTCCCTCTCCCCCGACTTCTTCCTCTCACAGGCCGCTTGGTTCATCTTTTTTTGCGCTCCTTGTTCCCGTCTATCACCATATCGACAGCATGGCTGGAGAAGATGTTGCAGATTTCCTCATGGGCGCCGTGGGCGGTCTCATCACGGCGGGTGAGTCCGTGATCAAGGTGGCCGCCCCTGAGATTGAGAAAGCGATCACTGCCGCGGGAGACGCGCTGGCAGAGAATGGTCTGGACCTTGCCAAGGTGCTTGACTTGAGTGGTGCTTTTATCCCAAGCAGCCCACTTGCGTTTGCGGAAGCCCTCAAGTTGGCTAGATCACTCCTGGCTGCTGTTCCCGAGCTTGATGGTGATACTAGCGTCCTCAAAACTATTGGTATGTTCTCACATCCCGTCGACAGAGGTCACACACACACGCACACAAACACGTTGAACGCAGACACCAATATTGACCGCTATTATTAGAACGCCTGGACAAGGAAGTGGCCCCGTTCACCACGCAGTCCGAGGACGTTCTTCAGCAGGTAGACGTAATCTTCAAAACCGCCGAGCAGCTGGAACTGGAGACTCAAACACGAGTCCGCAACGCGGCTATCGACGCCTACAAGGCCTTGCAAGAAGCTGTAGACACGATCCTTGAGATCAAGCGCGGAAACGCCCGTCTGCAGCGTGTCGACCCGACTGCGATCCCCAAGGTTGACCGCGCCATTGAGGCCTTTGACAACCTCAGCAAAGTCAGCAGCAACAACGCCTGGAAGCTTGGCAAGGACAACAGCGCTCTCATGTCCTTTGGCGACAACACTAAAACTTTCCGCGGCACGCTCGACGAGGAGAGCGCAAAGCTCAAAACCCAGCTCCAAACCAACGAGGACACACGCACCCGCCACAAGGCACACCTCAAGAAACTCCAAGAGCAAGAATCCGATTACCTATCCCGCAAGCGGCGTGCCAACCGCGAGCTCGATGATGTCCTGAACAACATCGGCTACGTCTTCGCGCCCTCCGGCCGGGAGAACCAGCGCGCCATCATCCGCAGCGCCGACGAGTCGCTCAAGACCAACCGCACCACCCAGCGCGGCGTTATAAACAAGATCCGCGGCCTGCACCTGCTCGACACCCTCATCCGCTGGGCCTCACGCGCCCTGGACGTCGTCATCGAATCGGTGGCGCGGATCGCGCAGGACTTCCAGGCCAAGTTCCGCCGCATTACTGACGCGCAGCAGACCCATGACAGGCTGTTTGCGGGACTGTTGTCCATCGCCAACGCGGTGCAGGACGCGAACATCAAGACGTCGCGGGACAATGCGCTGCGGGTTGTGCTGGGGGTGTTGAAGAAGTATCATGACCTGAGGGTTGATCATAGCTCGCTGGATATCCCGGGCATTGAGGACCGCCCAATTCAAACGAACATTGTGAAGAAGCTGGGCGAATCGACAGTCAGGCAGTTATTGCTGCCGCCCGTGCCGCCCGAGGATGATGGGGATGATGCGATCAACAACATGTAGATGTGGTCGTAGACGAGGCTTTATCATTTGGCGGTGCAAGAGCTGGACTCAAAAATGACAATTAACGTTGCCTGATATGAGAAAATCACGAGAGACTTATGCATAATTAAATAACTCTTGGCTTGCCAGTGTTCCGGTTCTTTCTTCAACCGCTCGATCTTCTACTATGACGGAGTGAAAACATCGTGTCTGTGGAGAAGATTGGGCATAAAGTTACAGCTGAGCCCGCAACTGTCCAGCCACGTCGGGACAGGACCGAGAGAGAAGCTACGGTTTGCTCCTGACCAAGTTCGCTCCGCGGCTCGCATGCTCATTATCAACCGCGGATGATTCTTCCCGTAACTGTACCCATCACGGATGCGGCGCCAGGTTCGGATCACTCAAGGCTCGTTCGTAACCTCCATTGTCGTAGTCTGGCCAACATATTCTGGTAATTATTTGGCTCTTGGGGGTTGTTGTGGTGGCGCTGGTATAGGGACCGTCGTCTTCTCAGGGCTAGGGTTGTTGGTTTAGAGAGTCAACCCTCTTGTTTTTGTTTCTTTGGAAAGGAACGTAACACTGAAATTACCTGTCAGATTGATTTGCACCATAACTTAATTTTCAAACGAGGGTTGATGATGTTGGCGTTAGGTCTTTGGGTCCATTTTTCCACCTTCCCCTCCCGTCTTTTTTCGGTTGCTCGCGTCATCGCCTTCCCTGATTTCTCCTCATTGTTTTGCCAACAATCACGATGATTTCCGTGGTGTTGTGTTTTTGCTTGTGTTATCTAATTAATTACGCTCCTTCCCCTTCTTGGCGTTTCCATTTTCAAGCTCGGAAACTCTCTATTCCGTCTCAATACATTCACTTTTCGTAATCGCTACTGTAATCGCTACCCGTTCAGTGTTTTGGCAGGGCGCGATTGGTACAGGTGTCAAGGGCTCAGGCCTAGGGCCATGAGCAGTTGTGTTGGATCGTGGCCGATGGCCTTGGGTTGACGTGGCGGGGCTGTCCCTCTCCC